GGTCTGACCAGCTCCTTCCTGACGTGCTCTCTCTTTATCCTCTCCCTGGGTTTTCATCTCTCAGGTCTCAGTCACAACTTTGCCCAGGACATGATTTTTTACACCTGCAACTGAGGCTGCACCCTTAGAGTAGATCCCCAGTCCTGACACCCAAGGCCAGAAAGAATCTCAGCAAAGTGCAATATAATGTAATGTCATAATTGAAACCACCATTTTGTAAGTTAAGCAAACACAGAAACAAAGAAATGAAACATTCCTGCCTCTGGTCACATCTCTCAGTTGCTGGAACTCCATGACCTTGACTGAGAAACTATGTGATAGGTGGGGAGAGGGGCTGCTCTGAGGTCAGGGAGGGTCAGGATGGAGAGGTCAGGTGTGGAGGGTAGTGGACACAGTCCTGCACTCTGTGGGTGATCCAGCCCCTTGCTGCAGAAGACTCTGTACAACCTGGTTCTGTTTGTGCATCAGGCCCTGGTTAGCCCAGGAAGCTGAGCTTCTGCTTGAAGCCCTGCACAGAATAGCGTGGGAGTTTAATAACTGTGGGTGAGGGTGGTGCTTCACTCAACTCCTTTCCTCTCCCATAGAGACCGCAGTTCCCGCAACCCACAGGTCCCGGCTCTCATACCTGAAAGGATTTCAAGTCATTTAGGTCCCTAGCCCAGGAGTGCATTTGTCTTTGTGTAAAAACAATGGCATGCTAACTGTAGGCAGACATGGTCCTGCATTGTCTGAGACCACCACACACAGGCCTTTAAGGAAAAAACGCAACACCCACTTGCTAGGGATGGGAGCTGTGCACTGGGCTTCTTCGGAATTTCCCAAATCACTGTGTGATTCAGGTTAAACACTGAATTAGAGCTGTGTTCAATTGACAAAAATACTGTGTAGTAATATGGGCGACGGGGCTGCGTCCCCAGCACCCCGGCTGCCTGGCTAGCTTATGCCCAAAATAACAACACACAAACTGTATTCATTTAATCACTGCTTGGCCCATTTCTATATAGCCTCTTCTAGGCTAATTCTCACATATTAATTTAGCCCATTTCTAATCATCTGTGTAGCACCCCTAGGTGCACTTACCGGGAAGATTCTAGCCTATGTCCATCCTGGGTCGGAGCTTCATCGCGTGCGTGTGCCTGGGAGCTGGGAGCATGGCGTCTCTCTGAGGTGTCTGCTCCCGAGAGGAGAGCTGTGGAGTCTGAGCTCACTTCCTCTTCCTCCCAGCGTTCTGTTCTGTTTACTCCTCCCACCTATCTTCTAACCAATGAGGGCCAAGCAGTTTCTTTTTATTTAACCAATGACCTTCCTCCATCAATACTGTGCAGTTTTATACATAAGGACACAAAAATAAATGAACACTTTTCAGGTCAGAGAAGATCTTGTGTCTTCTGCCACCCCAGTTAGCTTCTTTCCCTCTGTTCTATCAACACATTTGTATTCCATTTCCACTTGGCCTGTGGCAGAGGGCATTACCCAGCACCAGCCTCTTAACTTTTCTGTGCCTCACTTTCTACATCTGCAAAATGGGAAAGATTAATCACACCTTCATCATTGCCCCAGGGCTTAGGATGCAGGCACATTTCCCCATGGGGTTCTTTAACTTTACAGAAACGTTTCCTATGAGAATCCTCTCTGTCTGTCTCTTTCTTTTGCTCTCTGTCTCTGTCTCTTGGTGTCTCTCTCTGTGTCTGTCTCTGTGTCTGTCTCTCTCTCTCTCTCTCTCTCTCTCTCTCTCTCTCTCTCTCTCTCTCTGTGTGTGTGTGTGTGTGTGTGTGTGTGTGCATGCGTGTATGTGAGAGTATCATCGTCTTCGGAGACCTCTGGGGTCTAGGTACTCGGGACCCCAAAACTGGGCTTTCACAGGAGTAATTTCAAAGTTAACTTGCCCTAGGAGGGCCAGAGCACAAAACTATTAGCATCTCCTCAGAGGATCTGCCCAATTGCTGGTGCGAGGGAAGATGCTCTGGCCAGTGCCCTCTGAAGGTGAGACCTTCGCAGAAAGTTAGGCTGTTTGTCAGCAGAGCAGCTAGCAGGTCTGTGGGCCTGGGGCCGAGGCACTGACTGACCCTTCCCTGCATGCTGTGAGTGTCGGGTGCGCCTCTCCCACACCTGCGCACCTATCACAGTCAAAGGGTGCATTGCCCTGCGCTCTGCCCACCTGCGCTCCGCCCACCTGCACTTGCAGGCCCCCTGAGCCCCTGCACCACCTCTGCCTCAGCTCAAGTCTTAAGACAGTAAGGAATCGCCGGGACCCCAGAATGAGGAGACCACAGGGCAAGCTGTCATTCATGTGTTCCTTCTTCCTGTAAAATTAAGGCAGAGATGTCACAGAGCGTGTGCGAGCCTGGGTTCATTGACAGAGTCTTGTGTACACATGCTGAAGGAAGTTGTGTTTCTGGGTGGGTAACAACACACACACATACATGAGGGTTACACATCATATGGACACAGTGCATGATTCAAAAGAACAGCCCGAGCTAGAGAAAATAACATAAATCAAATCAAATTCTAAAACACACTCGGAAGCATCCTGCCGCAGCAGCCCCTGCAGTGTGTGGGCCCAGGGTTGAGAAGAAGAAAAGAAAAAGCCATCTTCTTAGCCAGGGGCTGACTTCCTGGGGCGGTTCTTCTGGACATTTCTAAATTCTGGGAGTGCCTGGGGCTTGGTAATCAGCATTTTCTTTGGGGGAGGGTGAGTAGGTAGAGGAAAGCTGTGATATGATGATGATGATGATGATGGTGATGATGGTGGTGGTGGTGGTGATAATGGTGATGATGATGATGGTGATGATGATGATGATGGTGATGATGATGACGATGATGATGATGATGATGATGATGATGGTGATGATGATGATGACGGCGATAATGGCGATAATGATGATGATGATGATGATGATGATGATGATGATGGTGATGATGATGATGGTGATGGTGATGATGATGATGATGATGGTGATGATGATGGCGATGATGATGATGATGGTGATGATGATGATGATGACGATGATGATGGCGATGATGATGATGATGATGATGGTGATGATGATGATGATGGCGATGATGATGATGATGATGGTGGTGGTGGTGGTGATGATGATGATGATGATGGCGATGATGGCGATAATGATGATGATGATAATGGTGATGATGATGATGGTGATGATGAGTGTGTGCACCCATCAAGGGAAAACACAGAAAATATAGCATTTGTGCCCCCTCTTCCCATTTCAGTTCACAGGTTTCTAATTTATGGGACAGAGTCAGCTTTCAAATAATGAGAACTAAGTCAGAAGAAAGTTGCGATAGATTTCTTTTTTACTTTTCTATTTGTTCAACTGACTTAAAAATCATTTTTTTGTTCCTATGTGTATATAGCATCTCCTCCTGTGTTTGTTTCTCCTTCATTTACTATTTCTGCCCTGGGTCAAAGGGATGGGGGAATAGGTTTTAATGAGGTGGGGTCTGGAGAAGGGTCTTGTTCCAGTCAATGCTGAGGTCCCCAGTGGTTGCTTTTGTCCATTTTCTGAATGTAGGGAATTCTTGTTCATGACTAAATTTTATATACACTTTTATGGTCATTCTTTTCTTCCTTTCTCTTTTGCATTCTTTTTCCTTTTTTGCCTTTTTTCTTCCCTTCCTTCCTATTTCTTTTGTTTTCTTTCTTTTTTCTCCTCCTCCTTTTTTTTGTTTCAGGGTTTATTTGTGTAGCCCTGGCTGTGGCTATCCTGGAACTTAATCATATACCCCACTTTCTTTTCTTTTCTTTTCTTCTTTTCTCCTTTTATCTTCTCTTCCTTTTTTGCTCTCTTCTCCCCACTCCCCTCTTCTTTCAAAGTTCAGTTTAGTCTATTATTTTCTGTCCTTGCTCTGGACTCTTCCAGGTGCCTCTGACTGTACACCCCTTGTGTCTACAATAAGAACCTTTTCCTCAGCCATATCTTGAAGCAGCCATGTTCTTGATTTATATAGTTTTGTCAAAAGTTCTGTTATTATATTACCATAGCTGGGCCTGCAGATTCTTTCCCTACTTGGTACAGAATACAGATCGCTATGCAGTTCAGAGAGCCAGCTTGATATTTCACTAGATGGCCAATGACAGGCACAGGTCAGCTTATATTCTAAAGGACACTGCTCCTTTCCCAGAGCAAGTGTGCTCTCTGAATGGTTACTCATTCAGGCTGAGTTATAAGGGCGTCTAGACCACATAGATCTGGTCTGGAACATCACCACCCCACCCTCCCTTAGTTGGGCAGTGGGGAATATGAAGTAACTTAATGACTAGCAGCAAAGGACTGTGGTTTCCAGAGCCCAGGGTTTAATATTTGCATGCCATATGACTAGCAGAACAGCTGGTCATCAGTTATTTCAAAGTTCAGTCTGGGAACATTTAATCTCATGATCCTGGTTTTAAACTGAGATTATGTAACTTTGCCAAAACCTCTATCATCCATCTTACCCACTCTTTCACTCTGCAGCTTCAGACATGGGCTTAGATAATTCTCTCTTACCAGAAGCAAAGGAAGGTGTTGTCCAAACCCATGGGAGGACAGTCACAAAGCCTGAGGGGGCATAATTCCCAAGCCTAGCAGGAGGATAGCCGGAAAAGTAGAAAGATCCCTTGCCAGTTGTGCGTTTTCCTGATGACAGGGAAGTGAGCAGGAAGGATGCAGAGAGAAGCCAACTGGGTAATGGAGTCCACTCCCCAACTCACATCCCCACCCTCCTCATCCACGACCCCACCCCAAATTCCTACACATAGACACTGACTCATCTTATCCAACCCAGGGTGGGTCAATGACAATGCAGTGAGCTCCTGGTAGCTGATACTTAGAGTCAATAAAAGGACACGGTAAATTCTTTCAGGTTCAAGGAAGGATTACATCCTGTTCAGTCAACTCACTTATCTGGGGACAGAAGATAACAGGCAGCTATTTAAGGACACAGGAACCAGGAGTGACTCTCAGGACCAGAAAACCCAGGAGAAATAGAATCTCATGCCCAGTTAAATGAGCAAACACAACAGATGGAAAGTTCCTGAGCTCAGAGTCCAAGGCCCAGGTCAGGCTCAGGAGAGCAGAGACCGCCTCTGGAAGTCTTTCTCTGCACTGACCAAACCTTTCTTGTCCACTACCTGTAACCAGCAAGTGGGAACAGAAGGAGGAGAGACCAGCTGAAAGGAGACTCCTCAGCATGTCAGAACACCTGGCCTCATCTCATCAAGTCCAGTCTCAGAGAAGCCCATTGTTTATTCAGAGCACCTGCCCACAACCCACAATGGAAGGAACATCTGTTGAGAGGAACATTGATAAAGGTAGGACTGTCTGGGTCAAGACGGGGTTTGGGAAGGAGGGAGAAAGATCTGCTCCCCCAAGATCTCTTCCAGGACTTGATGCCAACAGCCTCACTCTGAGCTTTTCCCTCAAAATTAGACTTTCTTTTTTATAAAAGTTTTTAATTGTTTATTTTTTGACGATTTCTCAATATTTAATGAATAATTTACATTATGTTTCCAAAGAGAACAAGATAATATGGAGCAGTTTTCAACTTTAGCTATTAAGTACAACTATTGAGGAATTCTTTTTATTTTGTTTTGGTTTCTAATCTTCAGGTTTTTGATTTTTTGTTGTTTTTATTGAGCTATATATTTTTCTCTCCTCCCCTATCTTTTTCTCCCCTCCCCTCTACCTTCTCCTATGGTTTCCATGCTCCCAATTTACTCAGCAGATCTTGTCTTTTCCTATTTCTTATGTAGATTAGATCCATGTATGTCTGTCTTAGGGTCATTGTTGTTGTCTAGGTTCTCTGGGATTGCGAATTGTAGGCTGGTTTTACTTTGCTTTATGTCTACAAGCTACTTATGAGTGAGTACATATGATAACTGTCTTTGTGGGTCTGGGTTATCTCAGTCAATATGATGTTTTCTAGATCCATCCATTTGCCCATAAATTACAAGATATCATTGTTTTCTTTCTGCTGTGTAGTATTCCATTGTGTAAATATACCACATTTTATTTATCCATTATTCAGTCAAGGAACATTTAGGTTGTTTCCAGGTTCTGGATATGATAAACAATGCTGCTAAAAAACATAGTTGAGTACATGTCTTTTTTGTACAATTGAGCATCCTTTGGGTATATTCCCAAAAGTGCTTGGTATTGCTGGGTCTTGAGGGATGTTGTTTACTAATTTTCTGAGAAATTGCCATACAGATATCCAAAGGGGCTGTACCAGCTTGCATTCCCACCAGCAATACAGAAGTGTTCCCTTTACCCCACAACCTCTCCAGCATAAGTTGTCATCAGTGTTTTTGATCATGGCCATTCTGACAGGCATAAGATGGAATCTCAGAGTTGTTTTGATTTGCATTTCTCTGACGACTAAGGATGTTTAGCATTTCTTAGTTGTCATCCAGCCATTTTAAATTCCTCTATTGAGAGTTCTCTGTTTAGGTCTGAATGGCATTTTTTTTTATTGGATTTTTTTTTTTTGATGACCAATTTCTTGAGTTCTTTGTATATTTTGGAGGTCAGCCCTCTATCTGATGTGGGGTTGGTGAAGATCTTTTCCCCTTCCACTGGACAGGTCTGTCAGACAGAAAATTAACAGAAAGATAAGGAAACTAACAGATGTTATGACTCAAATGAACTTGCCTGACATATATAGACTTTCTTCTTTAATTTGCTTTTGGATGCCTTAGTACAGTCCAGAGCAATCTCCTCTTCAAAGAGCTCCCAATCTAGACCCATCCAAGTCATGCCCCTTTAATGGACTCAGAGTCAACTGATCCTGAACTTCAATTACATCCACAATATCTGTTTTGCCATGCAATATGGCATAGCCACAGCTGTGCTGTCTCACCCGACTGTCCTGGAGAGTATGGCAGAAAATCCCAGGCAACCATAGCAAAATTTCATGTATCACATTATAAAATCAGCCATCATCCAGCCCCAAATTATCTATTTTTTTTAATTAATGTGGGCTTCCTGAACAAATATCTTTTAGGTCAGCTTAAATATCAGGCAGTTCTGGAAGTCTGGGGTCAAAGTCTTGGTCAAGTCAGGTCCTTCTCAAAACATTCTTCTTGTTATACAAACAGATATTTTCTTATCCCCTATGCTGTATCTTCTGGGGCAGAGAGATGATCACTCAAATCTCCTGCCATAAATGTATTGAACCATCCATAAGGATAAAACTGTTGTGGACTAATGTGTTACTTCTCAAATCACCAAGCCACAATGACCATGGCAACTCTTACAAAGGAAAGCATTTAATTGGGGTTGCTTACAGAATGTTAGTCCATAATTTTCATGGTAGATGGCATGTAGGCAGACACAATGTTGAAAAGGTAGTTTAGAGTTCTACATCTTGATTGTAGGCAATAGGAGACTGTCAGTAGCAATGGGTGTAGACTGAGCATCTGAGACATCAAAGCTCACCCTCACAATGACACACTTCCTCCAAGAAGACCACACCTACTCCAACCAGCCCATACCTCCAAACAGTGCCATTCCATATGAGTCAAGCATCAAACACACGAGTCTGTGGCTACTGCACCTATTCAAACCACTACATAGGGCTTTTGAGAGGTAATGGATTAGTACATGCTGAAGGAAATCCCACAGCCAGTAGCCTTTAAGTTACCCATCCACATGGGCATGGCTTCTCATACTATAAATGCCAATGTAAAGCATGTGTGCATTTCCTCTCTCTTCTGGCTGCCTGATTCGGTTCCTATTCCCTGTTTGTACAGAGGACTGTAGTCTGCGACTCTACCTCTAAGTAAATAACCCACTATTACACTCCATTCTGAGCTAGTTTGGGATTTTTTTAGTGTCCATCTTCATCTGGGGCCCACGTGGATCCCAACTCAACACATACCAGGTGGAAAGATCTAAATGGCCCAAATGGCCCACAGCCCAGAATGCCTCCCACTCCTTCCAACATAACTTGCTTTAAACTACTAAGCCATTTTTAAAAAAACCCCAACACAGTGGAGCTCAGTGCACATGACAACTTGGAAATTTCCCAAGCATGTGCACATTACCCCCACCCATTTTCACATACCCTGCCATGCAGCTACATAAAAGCTTCCAGTTGTGCTTCCTGCTCCTGAGTTCTGGTCTCCTTGGTATGTGTACTGAATTGATTTAATTGCTTTTAATTTGTCAAGCAAAGCATATTTGTCAGTAATTAACCAGAACCAAGGCAGAAAACCAAAGCAGTGCAGATCTGTTCCTGGCAACACCAGTTTCACCACCAATGGTAGCAACCATGCAACCACGACACCTGCTGGACAATAAAGATCATTACACCTAAAACAATTTACCAGACCTCATAACACGGCTAAATATTTTATTAATTAATAAATCAATAAACTTGAAAGTTATATCATGACAGATAATATTTCCATGGAAAATTTTAGTAAGTTTTTTTTTTGCTAATACTATGGATTGTATTCTGGAAGGCATATATGGTTATTGTGATAAATACATTTATTTGATATTGGGATTCAGGTTTTTTATTCATATTATGTTCTTAAGAAAATTGTTTGACAACAGAGCCAAGAATGGGGCACCTTTAGAGATAATGCACTCTATACAGACTAATAATGAACAGCTAGCTGACTGGATTAATACCATTGAAAATCAAAAGTGACCTGAAAAAAAATTAATACTATTTGAAAAGTATAACATTAATTTGGCAGAGAAAATTCAATCCATGTCAAAGGGTATTGAGCAATTATCTGAAAGAATTCATACTGTTGAATTTGACAATCAAAATCTGTTAAAAATTATGATAGTTTAGCAGATAGAGTATCTCTCCAGGATGGCAATCTGCATGCTATCCAAATACTGTCCAAGGATGAGATGTTATCTTTAAAGGAAAAATTTCAGACCTTGGAATCACATGTGCAGAATGAGGACCAAAGGCTATGTGCCTCAATGAAATCACTAAAAATATATAGAGGCCAGAAGATTAAGGCTTTACAAAAGAGAGCTGTAAAAACATTTGAAACGATTGGAGAAATTATTGGAGCTGATGAAAGGGAAAGAAGGCAGAAGGACAGGATTCAACATTGCCAGTCTCTGTCAGAGATGACTTCCCCAGGGTTTTAGCTTCCTACCCTGTAGTCTACTCTGACAAAACATCAAGTTTTAAATGCTCAAAAGGATCCAAAGAATGTAGATGGATACATATAGGAATGAATGATCTAAAAGAAATTAAGCTAGCAGTAGTAACTTATGGTTTGCATTCAGCTTTTGTTAGGGAGATGGTAAAGACATGGGTTTCTAGCATTAAAGCTACCACACAACACTGGCTTCAGTTAGTTTCAGCAGTCCTGGGTGATAGGTCTCAACTAATGTGAAAATGTTATTTCAGAGAAGAGGCAACAATTTCAGAACAACAGGGAAAAGCAAAAGAACCTGAGACTTCCCAAGCTCAAATTCTTGGTGAGGTCACGTATGCTGAACCACAGGCTCAAGCTCTTTACAATGAACAAATCTTGTCCCTATGCCACAAAGCAGCCTTAAATGCTTGGGACAGGATTCAAGTACAAGGGAAACAAATTGAATCATATATGAGGCTTAAACAGGACTAGAGAGAACCCATTAGTGACTTCTACAAAGATTAAACAAGACTGTACAAATATGAGTAACAGTCCCAGATGTTAAACAAGTAATTATTGAATTTCTGGCTTTGGAAAAGGTCAACTTCAAATGCAAAAAGATACCTGGGCCTTTAAAGGTTAGATCAGCACCAATGGATGAATGGATCCTGCATACAATGAACATTTTACTATAATAGTGAATCTTGGATAGGAGAAGCAATTTCCAAAGGAATGAGGAGACACCAAAATTCCAAATGTTTTAATTATAGTTGAATAGGACATTTGATAGGGGATTTTAGACAAGGAATTCCTAGGAATAATATCTCCTCAGGAAATGTCAAGAAAAGGAGAATTTAGGCTTCAGGTGTATGTAGAAGGGGTGGCAAAAGTCAATAGTAGACTAATGAATTCAGACCAATAAAAGACACACAAGACAACCCAATACCATTAGTGAACTTCTTCGGGGACCTCTCACAGGACCCCAAGTCAAAAGTGGTCTAGCTATTCCCAGTTACTATGCAGGACATGGCTCATCAGAAAAAAATAAAAAATCCAGAGCCTTCTGCAAAAAAAAAAATACTGTTCTGGATGATGGAATAAACATAAAGGATCAATCAAAATTTTCAATAGAAAATAGAAAACATATTTTGGTTAGACTTCTATAAATGATCAAAGACAAAAGCTAAGAGTGTAAACAAATG